TCCCTGGAGGTGTTCAAGGCCAGGCTGGATGAGGCTTTGAGCAACCTGGTCTAGTGGAGGGTGTCCCTGCCCATGGCAGGGGGGTTGGAACTTGATGATCTTTAAGGTCCTTTCCATCCCAAACCATTCTATGATTCTACGATTCTATGATTCTGGAATGTGATCTGGTTATCATACACAAACATAGAGACTGCTGTACTTGGTCTGACTCACTGCTCTGCTTTAGGAGACAAGGATACACATTAGAGAAGAACACGCAGTAGCCACATATAAAAGTGTTCAGGACAGAGACAAGGCTGGAGGGTGAAGGTACAGTGAGAAGGATGCTGTGAGGAGCCACCCTGCTACTCCATACCGGCATGCTGGCAAACAATTTTCCCACTCTGTTTTCTCTTACTAAGGGATGGAAATACCATTGCTTGGATATCAAAGACAGACATAGCAGACATTGGTCCTGTATGTGCAGTCTTATTAAAGAGGGCAGGCAACATTTAGCTTGCTTAATCTCTACCAGTAAAAGACAAAAAGGATTTAGGAAACAAATTGAGGAGATATTCCCTACAATCCCCAGGGTAAAGGCTCCTGTCACTTGATCCCACAAAGGCAGGTTTTTTAAGTGCATTAAGAGTTGTTTGATTTAATGAAAATGCTTCCTGTGACATTAACAAAGCATGGGTTAAGATCCACAGATGATCTGGCCTATGAAGGAAGAAATATAAATGAACACCAGAGGCAGGGAGAATGCCCCATCACTTTGGTGTTTTCTTTTAGGAATTTGCCCCCAGTAGGACAACTTCACTTTGACATCCAATAGTTCCTTGTACAAATCCACAGAGAAATATTCTTCTAGCTCCTTTGAAATATTTAAAAAGAAATCACCAAAGGAACACAGTATTCTGAGATGGTGCCATAATCTATTTCTCTTCTTACTTGTTCCTTTATGTTCTGCAAAACACAGAGAATCACTTTTCTTGGCTACATTTTCTTTTGCTCCTCCTTGAAGCCATCCTGTTGTGGTGCAAGGGGCAGCCTCACAGATGACTGGAATGATCCCTCACCAGAGCTTTCAGGCTGATGCCAGCACTTGATACAGCAATGACTGCATTCATTACAGATACAAAAACTCACACGAATAAGCTGAGCCCTACGCCCAAACCATGCACATCTCAGACATCAGGGTTCTGGCAATCAAAATGATGTAGAACAGGGGGCACAATCAGGGTAAGGACTGACCTTTCAGCCAAACAAGGTGCAGCAGCTCAGCATGAAATGTCTTCAAGGAAGTAACAATATAGAGTATTTTAATCAGATGGATAGCTACCATTCAGCTGGCATCAGTTTCCTATTTACTTCTCATTAACCAGTTCCAAGACTGTTATTTTTCACATAAAATTCCATGATTTTTGCAACCTCTTAGCTGTCTCTTATGATATCTGAGCATTTTCTGTTACAAATACTGCAAGGATTCTGATAAGTAAAGGTATATTTTTAAATCTCTAGAAAAATATTTTAAAACAGCTCTCTTAAGCCCCACTATTACTATCAACACTGAGCAAGGAACCACAATAAAGGATACTGAAGCTCCTATCTGTGATTGCTAAATGCCAGAGGTTAATCCTGAGATCATCCGCTGACATGTATGTCTCACAGTCACTGTTGACGGATATTGAGTTGACATGATAGGTGTGACCATTAGCAAAGATTCTCCGGGGAGTGACTTCTACCATCAAATCCATAGGTTTCAATACAGGCACCTGCCAAAAAAAACCAGAACACAAACCAGAAAGAGAGTAAGACTTAAATTATTTTTTGCTAGGATGATGAGAGTTTCAATGGAGAGCAAAGATTGTGACATTATAAAACTTCCCAAGTGTATGCAAGCTGAATTTCCCCATAGATGAATTGCTGGGCAAGGCCATCCCCGCCAAGGGGGAAGGGAGAGCCAGGAGAGCCAGGCAGAGCGATGGAAAGCCTGTACCATGAGAAGGGAGGCACTGGAAAGCCTGGACCATGGGAAGGCAGGCACTGGCAGCTGCCACTGAACAGGCCAGTCCCACAGCAGGAGCTACTGTCCCACATCTGCAGGAGGCTCTGGCTCTGACAAGCAGTGAAGTCCTAGTATTTTGCTTTTGCAAAAGAGTTTGCTGTTAGCTGTAAATCACTTACAGTATTTCTTTTGTCAAGTGGTGAAAAGGTTACAATCTCAGCAAAACATAATAGATTAAGTCTTAGAAAACAAAGCCAACATACATGTGTACTGGCATATGGTATACACATACATACTCCTGAAAAGCCAAGACCACAGACTATCACCCATTATTTTCCCTGTGTGTCACTTCAATGTCATGCTCCAACAACGAGACAATGCCAATTTATTCCCTATTAGTAAAGCATTAAACACTGTAAGGCTTTTGGTCCATGACTGGGACTATTCACTGTTTTTGACCATGCATCAGAAACAATCTATCATACATCAATCCACAAGATTCAAAGTCTAAAGAGGAACACAGAGAAGTTAAAACTTTGAGTTTAGCTTGCCACCAAAAGAACAAAACAATGGTTTGCTGAGCCTTTGAATTCTCAGACTATAAGCAATTTGGAATGGTTTTGTTTGCCTAGTCAGACAAACTAGACAAATATTATATTAATGTAGTCATCTTTACACTTTGGAAGCTTTTTTCAAAATAGACAATATTGGTTTGTTTTGGAGGTGGGGGTTGGTTGTTGTTTTTAACAATAAAGAAATATTTGCATTTATACACCATAGCCTTCCAGATCTAACCTTTAGCCACTTCCTTTGCCAAAAACACCTGGAGTGAATTCAGCCATTAAAGTCTGAGAACAAAAATGTATTATGTTATCATACATGCTTATATGAGTTCCATGACTGCATCAGTTCAGCAGTGCAGAGCCTCATTTTCACTGGAGCACACACTACTGCAAATCCCACTCTTCAGATAGGAAATAATTCTTTTATACCACTAAAATGAAGATGAGACGGAATTTGGTGTACTGTCTTTAACTCAGTTGCTCCGAACAAGGAAAGAATACTGTTTAATATTAATTACAAGTAGTATACTTCCAGCACACCAGGCTAGTGAAAGCACATTTGGCCATGATGAAAGAATTTTATCAGGAAGAATAAAATTGACATAAACACTCTAAACATATTTGTGTTGGTCACTATATCATAAAGCATTTGTGACTTGAAAATGTGTGACAGATTCAAGACCATTATCAAACAGCTAAAACTTCAATGAGAATAATATATGTGCTTAGCATTAGGTATACATTTAAATTTTTTACTGAGTTAGCAACCATGACTACCTTCTGTACAGAAACAACTGGATTTTGGACAAAGACAGCAGTTTACCTGCAGTGATGTTACTGTAGAAAGATCTTTAAGTTTTCCTTCTTCATCTTTTAAGTTGTACCCCTCTGGTCTCTTATCTCTTTCAGTAATTTTCCATAATTTAATTGTTTTATCTTTAAAAGAAAAGACAAACTGTCAGCATAGGAATTCTGAATGTGGTTACTAACCTTCAACAATATATACCTTAAAGAAGTTTCTACACCTGGGTTTAGACAAGTCTTGTGCTGAAACAGTCTGAGCCACATAATTTTGCACTTCCAGAAAATATTGCCAACAGAAAAAATACTCGTAAACAGCAGAAGAAGGATATGGAGTAGACAGGCAGACCGATGATACCTGCCTGGCCCATTGTGGGAACGCACAGTGGTGTACTGGTGTAACAGCACAAGCTCCAGCAAATAGGTTGTAGTAAAAATGAGACATTTCACAGAATCACAGAATCACAGAATCACAGAATGTTAGAGATTGGAAGGGACCTCGAAAGATCATCTAGTCCAATCCCCCTGCCGGAGCAGGACACCTAGATCAGATCACACAAGAACGCATCCAGGCGGGCTTTGAATGTCTCCAGAGAAGGAGACTCCACAACCTCTCTGGGCAGCCTGTAAGGCTTTCCTCATAAGGGAAAGCATCTGAGAAATAATGGAGAAAAAAGCCTGAGAGAATTGTAAGGGCAAGAGAGAGAAGTGGGAAGAAAAATATATTAATCTTACAGGGAATGGAATTAAATCTAACTCTCCCTTTTCCATGACCGGTGAAGCGTATGACGATAGAATCAGGATGCCTCTTGTTTAGCAAGGAGCTTCTGAAGCCAACAAATAGAAGTTTTAAACATTTCAGATAGAGTTTGTCCTCATTTCTGAGGTAGCTGAGGCTGCAGATTTCCCTAATATTGGTTGTCCACTCCCACTCTGGTTGTGCACCCAACCTGCCAACCCTAGCACTCCCTAGGCTGAAAAGCAATGCCAGCTCTTCTGCAAAAAAACCTGTCCCCAAGCTCCTAACTGTTTCATTCATCTGTTCATGGAGTAGCAAAAGCCTTTCCAAAGCTTCTGCACTTCAGCTCCCACCACAGCTTTCATTAATCTCCATTCCTGCATCATTTCTGATTTTGTCCCACTTTCTTCCCTTACTTCTCTTTCCCCAAGAGCATAGCAGAGCATAATTCTTTCCCCAGTGTGGCTGATCCAAATACTTCTTTCAAATGCTTGTACAAATAATTTTAAAGGCAAGCTATATGAATACATGAATCGTTTTGCATTTCTACAGCAACTTTGACTTTTTTTTTTGTTTTAAAATCAATCCCTCCACAACTCTGCTTGTTTTTACTATTATGCATCTCCTAATGATGTTGAATTTTCAAGCAGCAAAAATAATGCAATTTATCCATCTACAGAACAAGAGGTTACTGAAAAGCTCCAGTTAAATATGAAATACATTTAATTTGTATTGGCCACAATTAATCACTAAAAATACATATAGGCCATGTCATGCACATGGGATTTTATTACGTGTAAATAGTGCACTTCTGCTTATCTATTCTAAAATTCATAAATACAGCAATTGTAAAATGAATTACAAGAAAAAACACAAAGTGTATTTTCCACTGTTGGACTTGACTGCTATTGATAAACCCATCCCTTTACTGAGTGAAACTATTTTATTAGTGGTTAAGGGTATCACATGTGTTGGTTTTCTTCTCCTTCATCTGCCCCTGGACTTTAAAAACTCCCTAGAAATTCTAAGTATGCTTATATTTTGCAAAATAGAGAAACATCTCTGTGAGGTTCAGTATTCACTCAGTCTCAAGGGTGTTGTGAAGTTTAAATTAATTACTGTCTGGTAAGCAGCCTGCAATCCTCAGATGAAAGGATCTGTATGGGCCAAATTCTGATCTACCCAGTGTAGCTCACATCGAAAGTGGCTCCAATATATTCTGGTACAAAAAATACCAATGAATCCTAATAATTTACTATTATACTACAAAATCAGTTCAGTTTACAACGCAAAACAGAAATTTGCTAACTGCAAGCACTGCAAATCCACAGCGGGATTCAAAAGCCTTGGTGGTTTCCTTCTGTCTCCATTAATTTAGATGCTGCAATCAAAGCTTAGCTGATGATTTGTTGGTAACGTGAAATGGAAAGGAACCAAGATCCCCTCTGAGAGAGGTGACCTTTGCAGGAACAGCCTCAGACAAAAGTCCTGCTTAGAACGACGGAAACAGATTTGGGCAGATGCAGACCTGTCAAGTCTCATATATTGAGGGTCAGATTTAGACAGAGTCTCCCCTCATGTTCCCTGACAGAGGGATGCTCCTTCCAGCAAATTCAATGGGCACTGTCCACCTGTGCCTGTGGAAAGAAAGGATGCTGTTTCACAGTTTCTGACCAAAACCATGCTTTAGATCCTAAACTACCAGAGAGCAAAATATCAAAAATTGCATTTAAACACCAGGCTCAGAAATGAGTAAATATAAACTAGTCCTCAAGGTGTTTCTACAACCTGCACAACATGAGCATGTGTGACAGGTGAGGCCTTCATTCTCTACAGGTTATGGAAAATACTATTATCCCCTTTTATAGGCATGGAATTGATATACATTGTCAATGATTTCTCACAGGTAATCTGTGAGACAGCAAGGAATTCAACATGGGCCTTCTGTGTCCTAAAGTTAAAACTGTCTTTAAGAGTATACCAAGAAGTGAATCTTCAGACTCCAACCTTGCTGTGCCAGGAAGCTAGGAATCCTCCTTAACACACAAAAATGCTTTTAATTCAAAGCCAAAATCCAAAGGCCGCACCAGTGGCACCACTTCTGTTCTCCTCACCATAAAGAGATTTGCTGGGATGCTCCAGAATTAAGAAGGGGGAAAAACAGAGGCCAAAGTATTTTTCCAGGTCCTAGGCTTCCTCACTGTTGGCTGCAACTGAATTAACCCACAGCAACACAAAGACTGATTATTTCTTCCTTTCTCCCCTCCCATATTATATATCAACCAGAAAACTGATATAAAGGTCTATTAGGCCAACTGTAAAAGCAGCATATCTGAGGACTAGGCTGTATTCCTCAGTGTTTCCAAAAACAAACTTTAAAATGAAAAGGGAGAGGCTTACTTTTAATAATCTGCTTTTGTATCTGAAGTAGAATGGATATTTTGATGGAGAATAGCAGAAGTAAACTCCCAAACTTCATAATTAGCTGACTATCATTAGATTAGCAGAAATCACCTAACATAACATGTTTCATTTCAAACATTGAACAGTGCCCCCAAAAAGTCAAAAGACAACTTTAAGAAAAACAGACTACAAAACATAAAATAACTTGCTATCTACTATGTATTGATGTAAATATTATCTATTGCTATAAATTTTAACTAGAAGTAATCACTTTGCTCTAAACTGTCAATTCCCAAAGGTGAGATTACACTATTTTTCTATCAGCAATTCCCAGTTATGCTCAAACTTCTACACCAAATATTCTTTTCTGATTACAATGAGACCTAAGATTTAAAATTGGGTATTTTTGTCTCATGCATCATCAGCAGTAATAAAGGTTGTGGGTGTCCAAAGGTTTCCTAAATGACACCTGTGTACATCAGGCTCCATTGAGTTTTTTCCTCCTATGTCACGCGTGCATATCCCCTCTTAGCAATAATACTGCATTTTTTTAATCAATAGGCCTTAAGCATGTTGGAAAGATTAGTCAGTATCAATATCTTATTATTATTCCTTCTGCCTTCCAAAAATTTGTGTAACTCTTTAGAACTTAAGCCATTTGGATTAATCTCTCTCACCTACATGCATTTACACATCTACAAAGAACAAAAGTTATGACAAATACAGCAGACAAAATTCTAAATCCCCAGAGAGAGACACAGCTGCTGAGTAAGGTGATGCCTTTGTCACAAAATTCATTTCAGGATAGCACTGCATGTTAATAGCAAAAAAGGATGGCTCTCTAAATATGTATGGATAGTCACCAGGAAAAACCCTATGACTACGAATAAAATACATAAATAACAGATATCAGAGTCAATTTGACAGTCTTGGTAAACTCTGAAAGAGGAAATTACTAAAACAGTAGATTAAAATGAACAAATATATACACTCAGCACTAAAACACAGAAGAGCGAAATGCTGATGTGTCCTATATATTCTCATTTATCTTACCATTTGTTGATAAAAGTGAGTGAGCTGCATTTTGCTGTGGTAACCACTTGATCTTGTTTATTTTTTCTTCTATCTCCAAGCTCTTCAAATAATCAAATTCAGGTTCATGGCTCTGGAAAGTGCTGTAAACATTGTACTCCCCCTGATTGTAAGGCTCATTTTTACTCTATGGAGAACAAGAACAACAAAAGTATGTGGTTTATGACGGCAATATATCTCCATCTCTTAGGAAAGGTGTATAAGCAGCCTCATAAATACAAAAATATTGAAAGTGTAATTTAATTTCTTATTTAAAACATAATATTGACAGATTTGTATCTACAGGAATGAAATTTCCTGTAAGTATTGAAGCAACATTTAATAAAAGACAGAATTTTTGAAGAAATGTCAGCTGTTCAGGAAAGCTTTCTACAAAAGATATCGCAGATGGACTGAATGTAAAAGTGAAGTATAAAGGTATCACAGCAAAGGCATTGTTTTAAATGGAAATGGTTCCATCAAACAGGCAAAAGCTATTAAAACAATGTAAAAGTAAAACAAAAACAACTTTCTTTTTTCTTAGCTTAAAATTTTGGAGCTTTGAAGCATTTTTGTTTGGGACAGCAAACATCTGAGTAAAAGATCCTTACCGTCTTTCACTTCCTCTCCAAAGAAGTGACAATCTGTTTTACTGAATCTTGAGATTATAAACAAGTTTGTTAGTTAGAACCAATTTAAGTATTAAAAATAAAGCCAGGTTTTAGCAAGCTATTAAGGACTAAACTGGTAACTCACATACCTCAGGTTCCCTTTGGAATATAACAACCCGACCCCCTTTGTCACCAGTAGCCAGCAGTTCTCCAGTGTGGTTGAACTCAACTGTAGAAATAATATCCGCTGGAGGGAAAAAAAGAGAAAAAAAGGCAAATTGTAGACTGCTACTACAACACAAAGCCATTAGAAATATCAAGCACTCCAAAAAAATGCAACAAATGAGGGATTTGAAGGAATACAGATGATTTCAACAGCAAGTCACTGATGGATACAGGCTGCATGCTATTACAATCTGAGGTTGCTATATAATGAAACAAGTGCAAACATAACGGGGCAAATTTGTGTTTCCAGAATATCTGCAGTTTGGGAGTAGAGGAGATCTCTGGAGAGGTTATGCTTCAAGAAGAGCAATCTCAGGCTGCTACAAAGCTTTTTTCAGTACTGGAGATAGCAACAGCCTCCTGCTATTTCCTCTAGCAAGGACCAACACAACATCTCAGTCCTGTTGCATGTATTTATTCTTCACCCTTTCTGAGGATTTTAATATAACCCCGAGCACACATTTCCTCAAATATGTGTTTGAGCCAAGAGTGCAAAAGTAAAGTACACGTAGCTTGTCCAACCACAGAGGAATGAAGGCAAAACCAGAACTGCTCACTGTGCAACGCTGGCTAGAGCCCATTCAAATCATAATTGTTGCTAAATCATTTCAGCACCATAAAAATGCGTCATCAGAAGATAAAAAGATCCCAGTCTCCTTTTTCTAATTTTCAGCAATTCCCTTTCCCTAAGCAATTGCATCAGCTTATACAAGAAACCTCATCAAAACCTGAGGCCAGTCTTGAGTACAAATTACTATACATCAAGATGAGAAGAGAGAAAAAGACTGTAGGAGCAAAAGAACTAGTTCTGCTTGTATGACAGTAATGCTAGAATCATAATCCACAGTTAATCCTACACTATTAGCATAATTTAAATTAAAATGCCTAGTGCAGTAGTAAATTAAGAAGCCATCGTATATACAACCACAGACAAATGCAGGGTATTACTCAGAGATTGCATGTATGAATCCTCTATAATGATCAGTATTCACTCCCCAGAAACATGGGCCAGATTTTTAGAAGCATTTGTAGTAAGCAGCTCCCCTTTAGGCATAAAAAGCTGTGGTTTTCAAACACGCTCATCATCCATCAGTTTATACTGAGAACAATGAGGCGACAGTGGGCTAAGCTCTTTTGAAAATCTAGTCCCAAATGAGTTCACTAAAATTCAAAGGAACTGAAATAACAAGTGGATGTACCATTTACTTGATACATTTCATGAACTGAGAACATCTGTTCCTATTATTCTTTTAATAAACTAGCAGTTGAGTGTTAGAAAGCTGCTATTGCCAGTAGCTCTCATCAGCAACACAGCCATCCAAAAGCCAGATTCTTACTGGAAGGTTATAAACAACTCATCATCTAAAAAAGGAAAACTTTACACTAATCATGGTAAAGAAAAATATATTTTATTTTTTTAAAAAGATCTTCACCTTCAAATTGCTCTCCTGTCTTAAACAGACAACAACAAAACCAAAAAAACTTTCCTCTTTTTTTCCTCTACACACTACATACCTAAAGGAGGAAGGGGGAAATGCAACGCGTGTATGCAATTTTATTTTTTGCTGAACAAAATGTACAAATGTGTAGACTTTGAGAAAAATGGAACATGATGACTTACAATATTTTGGTCCTGAACCCAAACTCCACAAAGTCAATGGCATTTGATTTTTATATGGACCTCCGCAAACTGTGCATTTTATAGGTAATTATCCAAAAAGCCCTAGTTTTACTTGAGCACAGGAAAAACACAGAAACTCTGCTTTTGGTTGGTGATGCTCTGGGGCTTGGAATGGGTTGAGTTTGATCTAAAAAATTGGGGTTTTTTTAAATCTAAAAATCTAATCAACTTCTCTGTCATGTAAAGTTCATTTGTAGTGCTTCCAGTGGAATAATATTTCTTGGCTATTTTGTTCTTACCCTGCAAAACTCCTACTGAGAGTAGGTGTGGTCTACTGCTTATAGTATGATACTTGCATGATTTCGCTCATTTGAAGCTGTATCTTACCCCAACCACCCAGGCAGAGCTCCAGAAGCCTCTTACTGACAGTACTTTTAGAATGGACTTCTTATCTTACACGTGCCATGGGGGAGAAGGGTAAATGCAAAGGGGAAGCATGTAGTATCTATTAAAATATGTGTGTATTCATGTGTGTATGCATACACATGCGTAACGTGTATGTGACTGTCCCAACAGGTCACAAAAGATTCAGATAAAATGACTGTGTGTAAAATGAATGAATAGCATTTGACCTTACATGTGTGAATACACTAGTTGTTGGCCTGGAATACTTCCACAGAGGCATGAAATACCCTTCTCTGTGGCCACAATGGTCACTAAATATTATATTGCACTTTACAAAGGGCATCAGCCAATCAGTAAAGTCCACAGGAGTATTTGTACAGTCTTCAACAGTAAATGAATCAGGGTTATAATAAAATGTCTCTGCATTTTGTTATTATATTGCATTTGTCATTAAAATCTTGTGTGCAGTTAAGTAATTATTGTTTAAAGAAAAGCAGCTGAAACATTAAGTATCTGTGGGTAGTGTGTTATGATGTGGTTCTGAAGCAAAATTTTCTCCCCCCCCGAGGTGTTCCTTCCAGATGCATCCCTCCTTTCTATCAGAAAAACTAATTCTGAACTAGAAACTACCTATCATTTTTAAATTAACTTGTTCTGAAAAAGAGCAGATCCAATATTTTGACCTTCGAGGCTATGCAGCTTCTTGGTAAGAAATTATCCTTGAATTGGAAAATCACTTTTATTGATCCTGTAAATAACAGCTGAAAACAACAGTAAAAGAAAAAAAAAAACAAACACTTTATCCAGCATATCTGTTCATCAGGCGAACATTAGTCATGCTGTTCTCACAAAAAAGATTAGCCACGCTGGCTCTTCCTAAAACAGAGAAGGTAGGAACAGAATCAATCAACAAAGCTCTTCATCCCCTTCTACAGGACATCTCCCTACATATTTATCAATGCTGCAGCAACATCAGCCACTATGGCCCCGTCCTGCAAATTCTTCCATTGGAGAACAGCCCCCTGAGCATACAGAGCAGTTAACTACCAGATTTCAGCCTCTCCAGGATACATACATGCTCCACAATGGAAGAGCTGATGAATTTGCATATACAGTAAGCCCTTGGCAAGGAAAGGCAGAGATGAAAGACTCCTTCCAGCCTTCTTCTGCACCACACCTTCCATATCTCTGCTGGCAGTGCCAAGCTTTGCACTAACGATTAGGATTATCAGAGACAGAGATAATTTACCTATGAAGAACAATTATGGGTAACCTCAATGCCAACGGGCAAACATTTTCAGTCAGATTGCAAATTCCAACTTTTATCCAGTATTAATCTTCTTACTCTGTTTTTAAATTCCCCATACTGTCTATGCAGAAATTTATATAAACTTGGATTTAGAAGTCACGATGCCCAATGTTTCTACTCAGTTAAAATGCACGAGTTCATTTAGACACTCAAAAGACAGATACTGACTGAGAAAAGGAAACTGAAAACTTTCAAAACCTTCAAAAGATGAAAATACTCCAGGGGGGGTATACACATCCTGCCACAGCACATTTTTTCCAGCAGGGACGATGCATTACAGACTTTCATTCCCCTGACTAATCATACATATACACAGAAAGACATCACGTTACTCTGCAGCTTAAACTGACAGGAAGTTTTTCCTGATCCAGTCTGAAGTACTTAAATCCCTGATTCCTAGTCACCTCTGCCCTTTTGTACCTCATTAACTAATTCCTCTGCCGCTTCACAATTTGCACAATTTAAATGGGCTTAGTGGCTATGTTGTACCCAACAGCTGCTGATTAGCTAGCAATATTCATCTTTTCTAAGAGATCTAAGTCTATCAATGTACATCTGTGCACATCAAGGTATCTCTAGCTGATTGTACTGCTCTTCCCTCAACTTCATGAGTCTTGTTCAAGCACGGATGCAAGCAAATGAACCCTCCAGCAGCCCTCCCTCAGGCTTAGTGTGGGGTGGGATAAAACAAAGGCTGGTACACATAGCCCAAATTAATTCTGGCCTTTATTTCACACTATCACATACTTTTCGATGTTAACATTCTAGCCTCTTACAGGTTTATTTTTAAGGGGTTTTAATAGCTTTTTCCTATATAACACAAACAGGTCCAAGTACCTTTACAATAATTAGAAAAGCTTTATCTATATAATAAATCTTTGCATCATTTGGGGGCACTCTAGCATAACTGCATGCCATTTTCCACCTAGTACGCACTCAGTGAAGGAAAGTCTGAACATACTCATCTTCATACAGTCTTTTCATCAGAAACCTCAAGCAACTCTGAGAAGCAAGGCTCAACTATAATTTTCTGTATGTTACGTTTACTAATAATTGCTTCATTTGAAAGCCCTGGCACACTTTATTTTGCTTCAGAAGATCAGGAAAGCAAAGAAAATTTCAAAACTATTTCATCCAGCACAGAAATGCAGCTTTTTTGGACAGCAGTAGCAAGTTTTGAGGGCAAACAACATCACACAAAGAATATAATATTCTGTTGAATTGCAGTGTTATCCTGATAGGGAATTAAAGGATTTGGAATGGGCCAGAACACTGGAATTAACATCAGTATTTTTCTCAATAAAAAGCTGTGAAATCCTTCTAACCAGAACAGGTCAGAACTTCTCCTTTATATCACATCCACCACAATCAGCACAGCAACACTGTTCTCCTGCGTTGACCGAATCAGCATCTAGGTCAGGGTTTTGTCACGCGTGTTCCCAATGGTTAGCAGGCAGTCTTGTAGCCTACATTATTTCAACCAAATTCTGACCTGGCCTAACCTTGGCTTGTGAAATCCAATAAGATCACAGCACAATGTGGCATGGCTGCAAGCAATGTTCAGTCATACTGATACTAAAGTCCCTGAGGAGCATAATCTGGAAGAAACAACAAAGAAGCTTGCACCAAAGAGAGCTATAAAACAAAAGGACAAATGGCAGATTAAAGAGTAGCAGTATCACAGTAT